AAATTATTTATTTAAATAAATAGAAATTTAAAATAAAAAAAATATTAATAATAATAAAAATAATATTTATTAATAAAATATACCTGAAATCAATATGGAGAATCTAATGAGATAAAAGAGAAGAGCTTATAAACTTTTTTTATTAATTTATATAAATTTAAAGGATATTAATAGAAAAATTAATAATTACTTCTTCTAATCTATTATATCTTTTAATCTATTACATCATTTATTTATTTTTTCAAAAATATTGTTTAGCAATTTATGAAATTTAATTAATTAATTAATTAATTAATTATAAATGGATAAAAAGAACAAATAAATATAATAATTAATTAATTATCAAAAATTAATTTATATATTTGGTTTTATGAAGAGATAAATATCACAGAAAAATTATTTAATATTCATTATTTAAACTGAATATTTATATTTAAAAGATATACTTAAAAATATATATAGTAGGAATTATAGATGGTCAGTTATTCATTTAGTTATATTTGAAAAAATTCTAGTATTTAATGTTCTTAAATATTATAAAAATAATGTTTTTAAGTAGATTTTTCTGTTTAGCTCTGTATTTTATTTTTGGAATATTTATAATATCTCTAATTATTTTCCTCTTATTAAGAAATAGATTTTTATATTTTATAATAAAATTATAATTAATAATTTAATTTATTGTAATTTCTAAAATAAATAATTTTTTTACATTAAAATTTTTAAATTTTGCTAAATTTTGTGACCACAATAGTTAAAATAAAAAGTAAAATTTCATTTCTTCCTGAGGTTTTATATAAATTATGGTATCTATTCAATCTTGATAAATAAAAAAAGTATGGAAATATGATTGATGGATAATATTTCAAATTAAAAAAAACAGGAATATAAAAGCTTGGCATTTATAAAATTTATTAAGAAATAATATAACACTAAAAGATTCAAATTATTTGATCTTTTTTTGAGAAACCATAGGGTGCTTAGAGAAATTAATTTATTTAAGTAAATTAAATTTTTTATTTTTTTATTTTTTATAAATAAAATATTTACTTATAAAAATATGAATGATATTAATAAATATAAAATCAATTATAAAATCTATAAATCTATCTGTTTATATTTTAGGTTAAAAAAAACTTTTTCAATATAAAATATTATATTATTCAAGCATTTAATATTTATTCATCCTTTTTTCGTCAATTGTTTATGAATATGGTTTTTTTAAAGACAACTAATCTTTTTGGTTTAAGACACTTGCTTATTATTTTGAGTTTTGATGATTCATTCAAACACCTAAAAATTTTATAATAAATTTGTATAAATTTTTAATATATATCGAAATAAAATAAACTTTTAAATTAAAAATTTTTTTTAATTAATTAATAAAATAGCCTTAGTGGTATGAAAAAGATAAAAAAATAAATTATATAAAAGCTATCAAATAAATTCAAAGAGCTTTATTGTTTTTAATAGTTTTAAAATATCACAATCCAAAACAAGTAAACTTTTTTACTAAAACTTTTTAAATATTGAAGAAAAAATATATCATTAAATAGTTAATTAGAAGGAAAAAATGAAGAAAAAATATGAAATAATAAGATTAATTAACAATAAAAGCAAAAGTTGAAAATAAAATGATTAGCTAAATTAATAAAGAAAGAAAGAAAGAACAAAAAAAAGCAGGCACAATTAAAAGAAAAAGAAAAAAGACCTTTATTGTTTTTAATTAGTTTTTATAATTAAAAATATCACAATCCAAAACAAATAAACTATTTTTACATAAGGTTAAGTGTCAAATTCGAGAGATTAATGCACTTTGCTAAAGCAGAACCTAAGCCTGATGCACCTTCATCACCAATTTAATTGTTACTTTTTAAATATTGAAGAAAAAATATATCATTAAATAGTTAATTAGAAGGAAAAAATGAAGAAAAAATATGAAATAATAAGATTAATTAACAATAAAAGCAAAAGTTGAAAATAAAATGATTAGCTAAATTAACAAAGAAAGAAAGAACAAAATAAAAGCAAGCACAATAAAAAGAAAAAGAAAAAAGAGCTTTATTGTTTTTAATTAGTTTTTATAATTAAAAATATCACAATCCAAAACAAATAAACTATTTTTACAAAATGTTAAGTGTCAAATTTGAAAGATTAATGCACTTTGCTAAAGCAGAACCTAAGCCTGATGCACCTTCATCACTAATTGAATTTTCACTTTTTAAATATTGAAGAAAAAATATATCATTAAATAGTTAATTTAAAGGAAAAAATGAAGAAAAAAGATGAAATAATAAGATTAATTAACAATAAAAGCAAAAGTTGAAAATAAAATGATGAGCTAAATTAACAAAGAAAGAAAGAACAAAAAAAAGCAGGCACAATAAAAAGAAAAAGAAAAAAGACCTTTATTGTTTTTAATTAGTTTTATAATTAATAGTATTACAATCCAAAACAAATAAACTGTTTTTACTAAAGGTTAAGTGTCAAATTTGAGAGATTAATGCACTTTGCTAAAGCCAAACCTAAGCCTGATGCACCTTCATCACCAATTGAATTTTCTACTTTTTAA